AGTCAGAAGATGAGAATTCTGGACCCAGTTCTGAAGATGTCTGCTCTTCTTTTACAGAATGGGAGAGTGATCCACTCAAGTTCCAGTGTTTATTGTTGCTCTAAACAATTTTGTCTTTCCCAGATGTTTCGAAGAGGGGTGGATGAAAGATGGCAGGAACTGGTAGGCTTTCGAAGGTCAAGTATAAATGCCAGCTACCAGACTAGGGACCGAGTCTTTAAGGTGGTCATGTGGAGGTGTGAACACAAAATATTGAGAAAATGTTACCGTTCTCACAGTTTATGAAGATCTACCTTATATTAAGGTTTATCATTTTAGCCACTAAACCAGAGTATCACATATTTTTAAATTAGGGATGTTAGAGTCAGCTTTCGAGATGAAAGAAACCTTGGAGATTGGACAGTAAAAGCTTCTCAATTTACAGAGAGGGAAGCTGAGAGGAGTTAAGGGGCTCTCCTGAGGTCATGGAGCTGAGAGGGCAGACCCAACACCAGAACCCAGATCTCCAGACTCTCAATCCAGGATATTTATATACTCTCCTTTATTTTTCTTACGAATAGCTAAGAGTAAACATCAAAGCTACCGTTTTCCTGCTCTTCAGAATGTCACCTCTAACTACAGGAGGAACAGTGTATTAAAGGCAAAGGCAATGAAGTATAAGAGAAACTGAGATGATTAAAGAGAACTAACCTGTGTCAAGATGTGCTGTGCTATGCTAAGTGCTTTCCATGGACCAGTACTCTAATCCTTTTAAGAAGTCAGTGGCTAGAAGAGAAGGGAAGGAGCATATGCATGCCCCATTTCTTCTCTTCACCTTCAAAATAATTTTAATTGCTAACAATTATTTAGCAATTACTACTTGCCAGGCTGTGCAATAAATTCATAATCTCTAATCCTCAGGTAAATAAACAGAGACAGGTGGAAGTCAAGTAACTTGCTACACAATTTTCCTACAGCTTCCATAAAAAGTAGCACAAACTAGGTTGCTTAAAACAGTGTCTCAGAATTCTAGAGGCTAGAAGTCCAAAATCAAGGAATCCACAGGTCCACACTCTCTCTGATTGTTCCAGGGGAGGGGAATTGTTCCTTGCTTCTTCTAGCTTCTGGCATTTGTCAGCAACTCTTGTCACTCCTTGGCTTGTAGATGCATTATTCCTGTAGCATCGCCATTTTCTCCACCTCATTTTCTCTCTTTGTGTGTCTGCCTCTGTGTCCAAATTTCACCTTTTTATAAAGACACCCATCATATTGGACTAAGGTCCACACTAAAGATCTCATTTTGACTTGACTACCTCTGAAAAGAGCTTATTTCCAAATAAGTCCCATTCTGATATCCTCCTTTGTGGGACTCAATCCATCACATGTGCCTAAGGACATAAAGTTACCAAATATTAGACTAAGAGTCTAATCCAATCTGTCTCACCTGAACAGATACTTGAAAATGTTAACGTGTGAAATGCACATGATTGTTATCAACAAGCTGTACTGGAGACCTGGAGGGGAAGGCGCAGCACCGATTCTTTGGTCAGTAGTTCTCACTCATTCCAGATTCCCTCGACCCCATTGACCTTCCTCGTACTTCTAATGTTTCATAACCCAAAGGCAGATATAAAATGTTCTCTCTCCTTATTTTTGTCTCTGAATGGCATCCTGGGCTCTTTGGAAGAAACTCATCCCACAAATCTAATACATAGACAAACATGTAAATAAAGTATGGTCAAGGTCCTTACTCCAAGCCAGATCTGAACTAAGTGATGAATGACATTAAAGGCTATGCTCAGTGTGAAACACAGTCTGTGGAACACCAGGGAGGTAGTATAGCACAGTGGTTAAAACTGAGCTTCAGGATGGGGTTGCCTGGGTTTACAGCCCTCCTAGGCCATGTACTGGATATGTAAGCTTACACGATTAACTTGTGTGCTTTAGTTTTCTCATCTGTAAAATATTCGTAACAATAGTTACCAATTTAGAGTACATGTAAAGATTAAATAAGATAATTCACTAAAAAGCATATACTGCCTGATGGATGATAATCACTCAGTAATTTTTAACTCTTGCTATTCCTTTGAGGGTAAAGAGACAAAATGTGAAATGCTTATGCTTTTTTTCTTTCATTCCTTTTCTAGCTACCTCCATGCTTACCAAACACAATACATACACACACAATCTTGTGTATAACACACTCTTGTTTCAGCTACAAAGACTTTCTTAATGTCCCTTGAAGAGTCTGAGCATTCTTCTCTCTGAGGAACTTGGCATCTGTCCATTTCTCTGACTGGAATACCCTTCCTGCAAATAATTTCATTGTTGATGTCTAATGAGCTGTAAGCTAATGAGATGTAAGCAAAAATCTGGTAATGGATTCCTGGGAAAGCTGCTCAAAAAGAGAACTGACTCTTCACAGAAGCGAGTCCTTATTGTCCTTCCACCCTTTTTACATCCCTGGAATAAGGACATCACAGTTGGAGCTCCAACAGCAATCAGGGACTATGAGGTGACTTTGAGGACAGAAGCCCTATGCTACAATGAAGACGTAGATGGCATAAAGGAACCATACAGCTGAGTTCTCGTCTACCTAAATCCTGATTGCTTTCATATGAAATAAAATGTCCTTGTGAATTTAGTCAAGCCCCTGCTACTAGTAGCTGAACACAAATTTTTCACTAATTCATTCTTCCATTGAAATGTGGTGTCAACGAAGGCAGTGAATTATTTGTCTTCTTCAATACTGTGGCTGTAATGCCTAGAATAGTGCTTGGCACATTGTGCATGATTAATAAAAATGTTTTAAATAGATGAACAAAAAAACAACTGAAGGGGCTGGCCTGGTGGCATAGTGGTTAAGTTTGCGAGCTCTGCTTCGGTGGCCTGGGGTTTGCAGGTTCGGATACTGGGTGCAGACGTAACACACCACTCATCAAGTCACACTGTGGCATCATCCCACATACAAAATAGAGGAAGATTGGCACAGATGTTAGCTCTTAAACAATCTTCCTCAAGCAAAAAGAGGAAGATTGGCAACAGCTGTTAGCCTAGGGCCAATCTTTCTCATCAAAAAGAAAAACAAACAAACAAACAAATAAACCAAAAAACCCTGAATACCCACCATACGTCTATACATAAAAAAAGATGTAAAGGATGCAAGTGGATAGGTTTTATAGTTGATTTAAATGTCCACTAAGATAAAAAAAATGGCAGATAATTAGGCATGTTTCTATTGCCACTTTATTAATTTTACTGTATTTATTAAATATAGTTTTGTTCAAGATATACATTAGGTATTGTAACTACATAACTTTTGTCTAGGGTCAGCATTGTGTAGCCTGGATTAAACTGATGGGCATTTTTTAATACCACCTATAAATCTGACATTGGGCTAGGAGTTTTAAATATGTAGTACAGAAATCTTAGTTTATAAACTCAAGAGAACCGGAAATATCCCATTTCTCTGTTTTCTCTTTGTTGTTAGTGCCCTCAAGTCAATTCTGACTCCTAGCAACCCTGTGTACGGCAGACAGAACCCTGCCAGGTCTTTTTGCTCCATCCTCTCACCTTCCAGGGCTATATCAGACAATGATCTGCTGCTATTCATAGGGTTTTTATGGCCATTTTTTTTTGAAGTGGGTGGCCAGGTCCTACTTCTTAGTTTGTCTAAGTCTGAAAGCTCTACTGAAACCTGTCCACCATGGGTGATGCTGCTGGTATTTGACACACCAGTGGCATAGCTTTCAGCATCACACAGCACCACAGTATGACAACCAATGAGTGGTGTGGTCCGCTGACCGGGAAACGAACTTGGGCTGCAGCAGTGAGAGCATGGAATCTTAACCACTAGACCACCAGGGCTGGTTATTTTCTCTTATTCAGTTTAAATATGATCTGAGCCTAACATGTGTAGCTGACTAAAATCTCAATAACATTTATAACTGGAATTCCCTTCCACTCCAAGTTTGGCCTAGATTTCAGGTTCTTATGTTCAGCCAAAGGATCTGGGAGGTCTTTCTGCTCAGAGGTCTTTTGCCCATACTTGATCCTGTTATGACGTCTTTGTCCCACAGCTCGTCTCTCCTTCAGTTTGGGGAAACCACAGCTACCAGAATCCTCGAAAAGGCCCAGGTTCTTAGATCAAGTTGAACTACGTGTACTGTTATATCCTTCTGGAGTCCTTCTAATTTACTCCTTCTTCCTGACCCCCCGAGCCACTAGGAATCTCTCTTCCCATATTTCTCTAGTCCATAAAACAGTTCCCTTTACTACCTCCAGGATACCAGACTTATTTAATCTTCAGAGGGCTTAGATTTTTTGCAAAAGAGAGGAAGCATCATTGACTTCAAACAGCTTCTGTTTTTGGCCCTGTAAATATTACGGAAGCAAAGACTTCAAAAAGAAAGAGCCTGCATGAAAGCGGAGAAGGGAACAATATAGAGAGGAAAATAGAAATAAATATCTCAAAACTATTTTGTACCACATAAAGATCATTTCAGATTCTTCCATTGACCTTGCAAAGTGGGACTGTCTTTCCCACTATGCAGATAAAAAGAATCAGAGCTCATAAATCTAAATGAGAATGTAGTTAAGGATGAACTTCAACCCAAGCATCTCTATATTTAGAAATTATGCCCCTCTTCCCACTAGGACTGTCGTTACTGTAGTTTTCAGGTTGTATTCTGAAGCATCCTAGTGGTCCATGGGATTTGTCAAAGGAAACCAAAGTTCTATGAATTTTGAATGGACATAGTTCCATGGTGGATTTTCACTCTCAATCAGAGTAGTTCTGCATTTACCTCCTGGGTAGTTGTCCATAAAATTAAGTAAGACAATAGGTTCCCCTTGCTGAAAACAATGCTTCAACATTTGTGGCAATTTTTCCCTCATTTGCCGATGTAGCTGTGTCATTTGTGCGTAAATATCACCAGTAGTTCAGATCTCTTTAGCAGTCCATTTCAGCACTGTGTAAGGAATATACAAGTAACTGTTTTCTAATATTAAAGTGCCAAAGTTTGAAAGATTTAATTTTATTTAAAAATTTGAGCTGGTTTAAAGTCACCCACATATTAAATGTTTTCTCACTTACGTTTTATCTGCATAGGCTTTTTTGAGTAAGACAAGGAGATGTATCTATTGTGTTTGTGCCTGGGAATTCAGCCTCACCAATAGGAGCATGCATACTTATAAACTCAAACATGTGAAGGTCTCTGATCACATAAATCACAGTCAAAAAGTTGTTGATACTTAGTACTTGGAATCCAGGCTCACAGTAAGAAGAAAGTTCTGTTCTGGTACTTTTAGTAGCTTGGGCTTTTCTAGGTAGCTGTACTGTCACAAGAAATTGAAACTCCAAGTCCATATTCTTCTGTTACACCATGGTTAAGAAATGCGATATTCCTGGAAGATAAAGATATACTTAACATTTCCATTGTATTAGCAATTTTAAAATGTTATGCAAATTAAAGACTTCCCATAATAAAAAATGACCCTCCTAATATTAGAGGAAGAGAAGTGTTTGAGTTGAGCACATGTAGGAAAAAACTTCTCCATATAATACTGAAATCTCAAATCAGAGAACATCAAATAGTGCCATTGTAGAAACAGGCCTTATCTTCCTTTCCTTCCTTCTCAAATATACTATGCCCTAGGTTTAGGAGAAGTACTGATAGTTTCTTTATATATTCCCATGAATAATTTTTGGCCTGTATTCAAAATAAGATTGGTAGGATACATCTTCTTTCCATCCTCCTCCACTCCCCCCTCTAAAATTAGGCACTTACTTGAATAGAGTCTTTGACATTACTTACTTATAAAATTAAATATCAAGGATAATAAAATCTAAGCCAGTCTAATTTTTTAAATGGTCTGGAAATACTGATGCACAGAAAGGCTGACAGGTTGACCAATGATATACAACATAGCATCAGAGCCTAAATTCAAACTCAGCCTGGCTCAGAATTGATGCCCTTAGCCCCTATGCATTTTTGTCTCTCTAAGACAGCAAAACAGCAAGTTTCCACAGACTGTCAACGGGATTTAGATAGACTATTTGAATAATCCCTCCAAGTGACACAACATATACTTTATATATGAAGGATATGATCTGAAAATAAATGGCTTTGACATCTCTATTCTAGTGGCTAACATAAAGCTATACATAGAAAGCATGTGATACACACTTCATTGATTAATTATTTAAAGCATTTGTCATGTATTCCTTTGCTTTTTCAATATTCGCTTATTCATCCATTCACTCATTCAGTATACTAGGCCTTGGGGATGCAAAGAGGAATGGTAAGCAGACCACAGCCTCAATGCACTGTAGAAAGGTAACTGCCTGGGAGGAAGAAGAAGCTGAAATACATCCTAGACACTACTACCAACAGTGCATCCAGAAGACTTGAGTCACCAGAGAGTATGTCTTTTCCTAATTCTCTATTTTTCTAATTCCTTCTGGTGCAGAGCCTGCCCCAAAGGGGCTTAGACTGGTAGTTTCTTCCCTGCCAATAAAGTAAAGCCTTACAGGCAAAGCCCTCTCCAATAATCTCACTTTTACAAGAAATCTTACTAAATACCACTCTACCAATACTAACACCCACCTACCTTCCCCTGCATAAGTTGGTCTCCCCACTCATCACCCCCAAAATTGACTTGATTATTTCTGATTCCACATTTGCTCACGCCAATTCTCTCACCTGGAACATCTTTCTTTCTCCTCTCTTTCTAATTAAATCCTTATCATTCATTGTTCAGAATCTAGTTCAAGACCGCTACTCGTTCCAAACTCTTTGGCTACCTGTTCCACTATCATTTCAATCATCACAGTTGAACCATCATTTCCTAAGTTCTTTTATTATTATCATTCATCGCAGCAATTAATTATTTGCAAGGCATTCATCCTTGCAAACATATGATTTCCTCAAGTATGTAGGGTTTATCTCCCCAGCTAGATAAGAAGTTCATATCATATATTCAGAAAAATTATTGCATTTGTTTACACATCCAAAATGTTTTTTGAACATCTATTTAATTGAATTGCTCCTGGCAATAAAGATATCATTACAAGAACTAAGAATACACATACAACTATGATAGCAAGGAATCCTGTACATTCAACAAGGACTTCATAAATATTTTTTATATTCACACAAGACTGACTGAATAACTGAATTAATGAACAGGGCTCAGTCAATAGGTCAACCTGAAAAGATATTTCCATCACAATCTAATCTGTTTATTTTAATCAAAATTCTATTGAAATAAGAATAATTAAATAAAAGCTACAGTGCTCCCAAAACTAAAAAGCAAAATTAAAAATATTTTCCAATTAGTCACTAATACCTTTCCACCTTCAACAAGGAAGACATACGTTGAGTCTATCTCAAGAGTTCATTGGTTCTCTATTTGCAATGGAGATCACTCATCCTTGGATGTCAGAAAATATAAACTAGGTCTGTTAAGCACTAAACAGGTTCTGTCGTGATTAAAAGTAGATTCTTTTTTAACCAAGTGAAATTGGCCTTTTTAATTTTCAATATCATCTAAAAATCTGGTGTGTCCCTTCCTGGGTCTATGACTTTTTAAAATAACCACTCCTTCCTAGTTATTCTGCTCTGCATATATTTATTTTCTCCTGCAAAGATCAATGTCTTTACATAAATCCCACTTCAGCTCTGAGAACACTGTAGCCACAAAGAGAACAACATTGATAAATTCCTTCTTTTGAACCATAAAGTGAGTAACAGGAAAGCCAAGAGTACAACGTTAAGGCATTTAGTTATCTCTTTAGTTATCTCTTCTTTTTATGAAGGACACACAAATCAGTTATGATCAAGGTGGAAAATCTTCAGAACGAGTCAGTTTGGGCAATTGAAAAGGGAGAAAGTGAAAAGTATGAAGTTGCATAACCATTTTTACTTTACTTCATCCGTTCTGTTCACCTGTAATATTTTACTCCTGCATACACTATTCCTTAAAAAAGAAAGTAGTATCTTAAGTATCCGCTAGTTGCCATCAGATAGGAGAGAAGACTAATATTGAGTTCTCCCTATGTATTGGTACTTCATGGGAAGTTTTATCTAATGTATTAGAACTCCTTTTGTGGAAAGATATCCCACCAGTTCAGATTGGTTTAAATATAAGAGAAAACTATTTGGGTCATGAAACTAAATGTTCATGTTCTTGCTTTACTCTGGCACAATGCCTTTAAGATTCTGTCTCTTTCTGTCTCCCAGCTCTACTTTTCCCTGTGCTGGATTTCTTTGAAGATACTATCCTATTTGGTAATCAGGCTAATGCTTTACTATCTATAGCAGAGGTCAGCAAACTACAGCCCATGGGCCAAACCTGGTCTGACACCTGTTTTTATAAATAAAATGTATTGGAACACAGCCAAGCTTATATGCTTATATATTGGCTATGGCTGCTTTTGCACTACAAAGGCAGATTGAGTAGTTACAATAGAGACCATATGACTCACAAAGGCTAAAATATTTATTATCTGGCTCTTTACAGAAAAAAAAATTGCTGACTCATGAGCTATAACAATACAAGTTGAATTATCTTTTATAGCAGGTCCCGACAAAAATCTTGGACTTATATCTCATTTGGGTTATATGTCAATCATCATATCAGAAAAAGTGACCAAAGGTTTGGGATCCCATAATAAGCCAGTCTAGGTTCATGTGCTCATGGATAGAGCTGGGATAGAGCCAGCCTCACCTGAACCACATAAATTGATGGTAAGGAAGAGGTCACTTCCAGAAGGTACTGTCATCACATGAAGAAGGAGTAGATTCTGGATGTATTCATTTGCTAGGGCTGCCATTAACAAAGTCTCACAAACCATGTTGTTTAAACTACAGATATTTATTGTCTTGTGGTTCTGGAGGCTAGAACTCCAAAATCAAGGTGTCAGTAGGATTGGTTCCTTCTGAGAGCTGTGAAATAAGGGTCTGTTCCAGGCTTCTCTCCTTGGTTTGCAGATGGCCATATTCTCCCTGCTGTCTCTTCACATGGTATCTCCCTATGTTGAAATTTCCCTTTTTATAAAGACACCACCAGTCATGTTATATTAGAGCCTACCCTAATGACCTCATCATAGTCAATGGTATCTACAACCACCCTCTTTCCAAATAAGGTCACATTCTGAGGTAAGGCTAGGGCCTCAACATACAAATTTGGGGGTGGGGAGCACACACAATACAACCCATGACACTGGACCAGCAAAGACTAACTTACCCCGACAAATCCCTCATCTCATTCGTGCATAACATCCTCCCAAACATCCTTAGTATTTTGAGTCCAGCATTATGGCTTCATAGTAAAGTAAAGTAAAATACACAGTAAAGTCCAGTATTATGGCTTTTTAGTAAAGAATATAAGAAGTCATTGAGGACTCAAATTAAGTGAAGAATCTTTGGAAAATTAAAAAGCTTTGGATTAGTATTTAAAGTAACAATGACTCTCTTCCAATAATATTTAGGTTCTAGACACTATATTAAGAGGTCATCACATATTATTTCATTTAATCTTTACAACAATCTTCTGATATTTACATTACTGTTTTTATTTACAGTTGAGAAAAGAAGACTCAGAGAACTTAGGAAAATAAGACTTGGAGAATTTGTGATCCTACCAAATCACACAGAAGGTAAGAGGAAAAGGAAGAATTGGAAGTCAAGTTATGTGAATCCAAAGTCCACATTCTTGGCACTATTTCAATTGGGCCATTAAATAAGATGTGGACACAAAATGCTCAGGTCTTATAAAAAGAAAGCAGTATCATGGAAGCAACAGGAATCATAAAAAGACTAGAAACCTTGTGGTTGGACATCCTGTGTTCCAATCATTGGCTAATTTTATGACTTAGGGTGCCATGCTTAGTCAAACCTCAATTTTCTTTCATATAAAATGAAGGTGATGAAACCTACCTCATAGGGTGGTCCTGAAGGTTAAATGAGATAACACATATAAAATGTCTCAAACAGGCCTGGGAAATAATGCTAGATATAGTTGTGGTCATTGTAGCAAATATTGTGATTTTCAATGTTACTGATATTCTTTCCTCAGCAATGTATTATGTTGAATTTAATAAATTCACACACAAAAAAGGATACATTATTTCAAATAAGATTTCTATGTTACTTCTTTTATATAATTTCAATGCCTTTCCAAAAATATATATACAAATATGGCGGATATTGCCTCTTTATCTCTACAAATAAGATTTACAAGAAATCCTGATTGTAATGACACAAACAGTTTGCTAGAATACTCCTGACTTCTTACACAATGAAGCAAGTCATTTTTCACATTTTCATACTAAAAAGAGCTTAATATCATGGAACAATAACAAAACTAAAGTTTGTCTTTATTATAATAGAGTTTGACTTTAA